ACTAGAAAAAGTGAATATCAAAATTATATACAATTCTTTTAACGAGATATCGCTCTGGAAAAAGTGAAATGGACTTTTAAGTTTTTGTTATTTTTTTAAAATATAACTTTGCAATGGTACGGAAAAAATAGCAAAAATTTAACTGATTATTTAATTATAATATATTCTTGGAATCAATTATAACAAATACAAATTTTAGTATATAAAAATATATCATTTGAGACTTATTTATTAAATTACAAGCAATTTAAATTTGTGTTAGATGAAGCGAAGCGACAATGATAAAGAATTATATCTCTCTATCACCATATCACTTCATTATCATCATTTTTTATAATGTAAATTTATAATTAATAAAGACTTCTCGATTGATATTTTTATATACCAATTTTTGCATTTATCTTTCGGCCTTTAAAATCGATCTTCTAAATATGTCTCATGAATATATTAATACTTTATAAAATATTCAGATTTTAATGCTCTATTTGTTGTAAAAAGCATTCTCAAGTATGTAAATCATATTCAAAATATAAAAGAATGCTTTGAAAGTGAATTTTATCCCTTTAAAGAGAGTTTTCGCCGAAAAAAGAAATTACTTCCTATAAATATTCTATTCCATTATATTCTGCGTAAAAAATTTCGCTAAAATAGATTTTCTGATTGAATTCTTTTGATAATGTTGAAACACTTTCGTAAGATATTGTATTTTATTTAAACTATATTTACAATTAAACTATATAAAAGCTAAACTTATCAATTCTATCGAAGATAATTATATTTTTATATATTTGCAGTAAAATTAATGATAATAAATAAAAAACAAAAATTTATAAGGGAATAATTTTTTAATTACAAAAAGTTGCATATTTTTTACATTTATAAACTAATAGTAATACATTTATAAACTAACATTATTATTTTAATTGTATCTTTTTAATTAAAGGAAAAATAAAACATTATGATATAGTTTATTATAGTATAAATAATAAATAAACAATAAATAATAAATAATAAATTATAATTTATTTAATCTTCTTTTTTTTTAATTAAAGAATCATTAAATTTTTATTGATTTCAAAATTGTTATAACTTTGCAAAAAAAATAAAATGGATTCATTATAAAATTAAAGTTTCATTTTCATTTTGTTAAGTAAATTTTGCTCGAAAATGTTTTTAAATTTAAAAAGAATGAAGTGGAAAAAGTGAAAATGGTTTTCAGGTGAAAATTAAAATAGAAGAAAATTTTAATTTTACAATTACTAAATGTTAAAATATGAAAATGTAAGTGAAGTATGAAATATTCTTGAAATTATTTAAATAAATATGAACCATTTAGAACAGAATTTAATAAAACAAAATGAAGATTTCAAAGTAAAATATTTAATTATATAAAATTTAACTTTAATTTTAATTTAATACATTTAGCAGGAAAAATAAATTAAATAATATTTTTTTTTTAGCCTAATGAAAATTTTAAATTTTATTCTCATTGTGCTTCGAATGTAAAAAATTTAAAGCACGGAATTAATAAGTAATAATAAAATTATACGAAATAATTATATATTTTCTAAGAATAAGAATTTTTATCCAATAATCTTACATTTTTCTCATCATTTATAGTGTAATTTATATAATTTATTTATTCCATATTATTCCATTAATTATTTCATATTAATGGTTATTTTAAATTTTTCTGATTTTTTAATAATTAGCTTGAAAAGAATATTTAATCTTTATGAAATTCAATCTTTTTGTAACAATAATGTTTGAAACGAATCGGACAATACACGGAATTATGGAAATTTAAGAAAAAAATATTTAAATGATAAATTGGAATCATATATTGACGATCATCCCAGAAATTTATTAGTCGAAATTGAATATGCATATAATGGCCCATAAAGGAGAAAATAAATCGTATGAGACATGGGCTCGAAATTCAGCACGTTCGAGCATAATTAAACGTGAAAAACAGAAAGTACAGACCCGTTGTACCGTTTTTAATGAAGATTTAATTATAAATTATAGCTCACTAGAAATCCGGTTTGTCTCTGTATCAAAGCGAACTTCAATCATCGTGAAACGCCTGTTCGATCAGATTATTGGCTTCTGATTATATTTCAAGAATATTGAATTTTCAAATTACATACCGGCCACCATTTTGTCGTGGAAATTTTTTTTTTCATCAATCAAAGATTATAATACGGAATTTTTTTAAAAATGAAAATTAAAAATCTGTTGTTGTTCATTACAATTTTGAGATTATAATTTTTTTTCATGAAATAGAATTCATATTTATAATTAAGTAATTTTGTATAAATAAATTAAAAATTGTTGAGATATAATCTGAAGTAGTTATGGAATTCGAATTCATTTAAATAATTTTCATTGTTGTCATATTATGTGAGCAATATTTTAAAAATCGATTTCCTGACATTGACATAATATATAATATATAATAATGTCAATATATTGACATAATCGATATATTAAAATAAAATTAACTTGTCCTTCTCTCTCTCTCTTTCTCTTAAATTTTATATTTAGTAAAATTTTTATTTTTAATGAAAATAATTTCAAACGTATAACTTTATAAATCATTTAATGTAATAAAAATATCATAAAATATCAAAATAATCAAAATAATTAAAATAATCAAATTTTTTTGTTCAAAATGTCTAGAATATTAAAAAACATCAACGCTTGATGAATTCATTTGACTAAATATAAAATTGTTCTTAATAATATAATAAATATTTACAAACAGATATAACATTTTGACATTTTATCTCAATGACATTTTACTATGTTCTCAAGATAATCGCATTGAATAATATTATAAAGATTTTATTTGATTATCGTTGCTTGTTAAAAAAATTATTAATCTAATCTAATTCAAATTCAATATGAACTATGAAATTAAATAAATTTTTGTTTAATATCAATTAATTTATATTAATTCTAAATTACTTTCAATCAAATTATTTCAAATCAAAATTAAATAAAAATATTTCAATTGTTAACAGATTTAATAGCGTTGGATTTGATATTTTTTAATCTCATCATGAGATTTATAGTAATAAAATAAAATTAATTATTTTATTATTATTGATCTAACTTAATCTAAACTGTTTCGAAAAAACCTAAAAAGTGTTTTTTTAAATAACTTTTTAATGAGCAATGATTCTTAAGTGAAATCTTCATAACATAACCTAGAATGACGATCTTGATAATATATTAACATATTATAAAATCGGAGAATGATAAATGCTCTTTTATAAATAATTATCACAAATTTTCAATTTTCTTTTTTTACAAAATCTAAAAGATTTAAACTTTATTTATTAAAAAGTGAATAATAGCAAATAATTTTTATAACAAAATTATCCTTTGTAATTTCAGATATCTTCCATTCATCAATAAGATGAACTTAAACACAGAAAAAAGAGATTCTCGGTATTAAATTCAACGAAAAAAACATCTTCCTAAAAACACATCAACTATAACATTCCAACGATTCTGCGAAATAGTCGAGATCACGTTCTCCAATGATTCTCCTATACATCAAAGGCGACCCTGAAATCGACCAAAGCTCCCGAAATAGTCCTGCAGAGTTGTTCGAATAACAGAAACCGGTCATTTCTCTAAGCACTGTCGTCGTCCATATATTTTTCTTCTACGTGAGATTATTGTTTGGAAATATCGGTACGTGACGAGGCGAAGGAATCGATGCTCGGGACAGGATATTCATGCGGATCGATCGAGGCATGTATTATCATGTAAAACGACGGTCGGACATGTAAATTTGGCGAGTCGTCGAGGCGAAGGAGAGCGTTCCGCGCGATTGGCTCTTATCATGGAGGAGAAACGAGCAGCTACGACGGTTGGGTGCGGGATTCTCGCATCTAAGAGGCTTTAATCGTCACGATTGAAAATGTCAATCGTATGCCACGGGTTATGGGTAAGTTTGAGATTGGTGTTTTACGAGTTTTACGTATCGGTTCGAATGTATTTCCAGGAAATATGTTGGAACGGCTAGTCACGTAAACTGGTACCGTTTGTAGGTTTCCTTATTCTTTCTTTTCCTCGAAGGAAAAGAAGGTTGGTTCGATAGAATAACTTCGGTTACGAGGATCCTTAGGCTATTTATTTATAGCGTGCTACGAGCATCGTGAAACATGGATGAACGTCTCAAAGTGAAATTTGTTGGGAAAGAGATAAATTGAATTGCGATTCGATATAGGCTTATTTAAAAATGAATTAGTAAATAACCAGATTCGTATATATTTTGTTCCAATATTGCAATGAAGTATATTTATTATTTGTATGATATAAACTATGATTAGTTAACATTTATTTATTATACTTTTATTTTTTCACATTATGTAAAATTAATATCAAAATTAAATAATGCTGGAAAATTTATTAAAGAAAAATTGAAGGATATTTTAAAATATTTCTCTGTTTCTTGAAAGAAAAACAAAAATTGATAACAAATAGTTTATATAATACAAATCATTCAATTTTATATTTAATTTAAACATTTCTACCAAAATTGTAATAGATATTTTTTATTCTTGACTTACTGATTTCACGAAAAAAATAATAAATATTTTTCACTTTAGTAAAATTTGAATATTATTACTACAAATAGATCAAATTTGATCAAAATAAGAAATATAAAAACAAATATTACGAAAAAAGTTAAAATGTTTCATAAACTGTTTAGTTTGTAATATATATTATAAATTTTTTATATGCAAAATACCAAAGAAATCTATTTATGAACAAAAATATTTATTAAGTGCAATTCTCAACTGCTTAAGAATACATAAAAATAATATAATATAAGAATATAAAACATATAATATTATGTAATAGCATTTAATTTTATTCTCTAATATTTTTTTTCTAATAATTTTAAGAATATATAAATACGTGTTCTTTTTAGTTGCATTGAATATCCTATACCATAAAGTAAATATTTTTAATATATATTTAATATTTCAAAATGCTTATTTTGATTTCGTTATAATTCTTTAAAAATTAAGCAAAATTTTTTTGAAATTTTAGTTGAATTAGTTTTTTTAGAAAATTTTTCTTAAAAAACTTATAATGGTGAATCAAAAATGTCTAATCAACTGCACAAAAGCGCCGTCTAAATCACTGAAAGAACTATCAGTTACATGGTTCAACAGAAAAAATTATAGTAATACTGCCAATATAGAAAACCATTTTATAAACCATTCATCTTCACTGCGAGTTAGTTAAAGTCTATTTTCTCCAAATCCAAATAACAGTAATGATAAATGAATTAATCGACACTTTAATCCTCCCTCAACGATCATTCAATCACACCATAATCCTCTAATGATAACCAGAAGACTCTCGAACACAATTTCCACTGTTCCCAAATCCTTATTTCCTGTCACAAAATATCGTCAATCCGTGTAGATGTGGAAATTTGCGAGACAAGTGAAATGATCGATCGAATTGCGAGAATTAAAGAATTAAACTTTGGCCAGATGAAAATGCGCTATGATGAGAACGAGGGATGCACGACGAAGGAAACGACGAAATCGTTATATGTGTACACATATCCCAAGTGGTCACGTATTATACGCGATTCGTGGTCACGACCTTCCGTGACTCGACAACGTTAATTAGCGCTTTACTACCTCTTAAGTTCGAGCTTCGGTGGAATTGCTAATCGGCTACCGTGCATAAACTTGGCGCGACACCTCAAACTTAATCCTCCTCCTCCGTTCGTGACAATTCCATTCGTGGAAGTAGTCAATGCATGATAACACTTTGTAACGAGTATTCTTTTTGCACACCATCGCTGGAACTTTGTTGTCGGATTGTTTTCCTTCTTTTTGAGACGACTCGATTCACGCGACTTTTCTTGTTACACGAAATTGTCTTGTCGAATTTTTCAAATTAGTGTTAACTTACTTTTCTGTTTGCGGGCGTACGTGGCTCGCATATGTTTGATATGTTGCAGAGACTATTGTCGAGACTCGCAATCAACTCAAAATCGATTGTGGACGATGACAGGAATTGTGTTTGAAAGTTTGTATCTTTCAAACACAGTTTCAATATAATTTTATTTTTTTTTTAAATTTTATACGTGTTAACTATTTATTTGATTTGTTTTACGACATACTATTAATTAAGATTAAGATTATTGAAAAGTATAATATCATCTTAATTAAGATTAAGATACGTGAAAAGTATAATATCAGAACGTGCCATTCATTTTTAAAAAATATGGAGATATTTATTGCAATCTGTTTTTCTCATTTTACTGTATCAAAAATCAATCTGAAAACTTATTGAACAATTCGAAAATATAGATTAAATTATTATATCTACACTTGCTTTTATTTCAAATATTGTTATGTACATCATTGTACATCCTAAAGAATATTAGTTAGTATAATTATTTATTTTAAACATATAATTATAGTTCATCATGAAATTGATATACTGATATAATTTATTAAACCAAAAAGTTATTAAATTATATTTACTTGATATTTTCAAATTCAATTTTTTAAAATATATTTATATTAAGCCTTATTTTTGGAGAGTAAAATATTAATCTGTAATAAAGAAAATTATTAACATAAATTTGAAACATTTACAAGAACGTGCAAAAAGAAAAAAAACATTATATTAATGTAAATTAATAAGAGTAAAACATATCGATATTTAAAATCAAACAAGAAAAATAAATTTGATTTTTGAAAAAACATTACAATGATAATTGATGAAATATTAATGATTTGATGTATTAGAAAAATGTTGATAATCAAACTATAGATGATTTGATTTATAATTTAATAATAAGAAACCGAATATTTTTATTATTATAAATTATAAAAATAATTTTTTAAATATTTTTTAAAATTCAATATAATAATATTAATATTTCGTTGCTAATAATATATCTAAATTTTTATTTTTAATATTAAAAAATTAAATGACATATAATTTATAATAATAAATATATCTAATTGATTTAAAGCGAATTTTTATATTCTTCATGTGAATTATATTATTGCAAGATATGTACAAGATCTGTTTAAATTCCTTTTAAAGGCAATTGTCGTTCGAGAATGAGTGATAGCTTAATTTAGATGGTGATAACGTAATCGGGAATCTAAAGAATCTTAAGAGCAAGGTCGGTCAAGGCCTCTGTCCCCTTTCTATAATTCGGAAAGTATGAAAAGTTTGGATTGGAAATATCAAGATCAAATCCTTCTTGCCTTGGTATGAGTGGGAATTATATAGATAATATTAAGGAAAACTATCATTTACTTTTTTGATACTTGATAACATGGCATAAATAATATTAACAAAAATTACACCATCTAACGATAGTGGCAGATATTAATTGGCCAGCAGCTAATATCGATAGAATGCAATATTTGTTATGGATTTTAACAAAATAGATATAATTAAGAAATTAATATATTGTAACAAAAATATAAAAAAATACAAAATTGAAAATTTAAAATATTTTTTTTATATATAATACATTATTTATATTATTTAAATATAAATATATTATTATTTTAGTATTACAATCTTTTGGAAAAGTTAATTTTGAGAAAATTTTTTTTCTATCAAAAAAGTATATATGCATTAAATGTATTTATCTAGATACAATAAATTTCTTTATATAATTCGTTCGTTCTTATTTCTATCATACTTATAAATATGATCAATGTCATAATTTATTTTGCCAATATCATTTTATATTATCTTTTTAAACTTTTGTGATGTGAGTCTTTACTAATTAATTAATATCTTCTATGACTTTTTTTTTTTATTATTACACGAGCCAGGAAGTAGAAAGGTCACGGCTTAGAAAATATTTTATAATGAATAAGATTTTGTCGTTAAACTTAAACCAGCTATGAATAAAAATAAGAATATTATATAAATATGTGCTTAATTTATCTTCAGATTAATATGAGTATGTTAAATGAATATGTTGTCAAACACAACATTATTAATAAATTTTCTCTCTCTCTCTTCCTATATATATATATATATATATATATATATANATAT